AAGGAGTAAGGTTCATGTGAGATTATTTAGATGTTGTTCATCACAAAAAATTTCAATAATTTCCTAATGAACACAACTATCCTTAGTTTTAAAAAGGGGTCAGTCAGTTTGTTTACTGAAATGCAAAACCTACAATTATACAGATGTGAAGAACTCCAAAAGAATACTAATGGGTGCGTGAAACGAAGATACTACATACTCGATACCTACTGTAGGTTGTGAGACATCGATATATTTATTCGAATGAAAATGTAAAGGTAGACGTTGTAACGAAGTCCCATGACCTTTGTTGGAATTAGATAGTGAGTCTTAAAATTACAGTATAAAACATCAAACAACCGAAATCCTGTAAGTTGTAGTGACAAATAAGTTCACTCCTGAAGCATCACTTCACTTTTAGAGAGTGCGAAACAAACTAGAAGAGGAACTTTGTTCTCTCACGAAACAAAGGAGTAGTGTGAAGTACTTACCGGATAGTTTGCAATTACCACACTGATACCGCCCTAATGAAGAGAAGATTAAACAACTACAAACTAAACTGTTGCCGGTGTGAGGAATACAATGGATATCTCACTTAAAGCACAACGCATCTTTGGAAGCTATATGGATTCGGTGAATAGATTCTAGTAAATAAATGGAAAGTCTCAAAATAGTTCACACGACAGACATACTCCGAAAATCACTTCCCAATGATGTATTCGATTAATCTACTATATGTCTGTCAATGCTTCTAGGCCATAACGTGCCACTATCCGAAGTTCCAGATCAAATCAAACGCAAATTTACTTCACGTTGAAGACTATTTTACAAATCTATATTGTCAGATGATCCGATGCACATCTTACTGCTGTTTGAATTATGTCGGAAATCGCACGAATTATTGTTTTATCTACTTTGCAAATAAGGTCATAGGTTTATTTAGGACGATATATTAGAATTGGATTATTCGGAATAATCGGCATTTTTCATGGGATATAAATGTTTTGTGATGAATAAATAGAGAAAAATTACAGAAATATTATCCCTCATAAGCAAGAGAATCCTAGATCAATTATCGCCTCAAATATACTAGGGCAACGGCCACGTCCCATGATCCATTCGCTACTCTAATTATTTGTTTAATAACAATGACTGTTATTGAAACGTCACGGTTACGCACGTCTTCTTTCCAAATAATCAACCATAAGCACCCAGTATTGTGAAGGTTTTGGAGAATTCCCCAAAATCAGTGGTTATTTGGATGAAAAACTGAATTCTCCCCAACCTCACTTGTAGTTTTGGGAAGGTATCACTAGTTCCACAGAGGCTACGGTTTCTGTTGGAGCAAACATTTTGCGAACAGCTTAGGCAAAACAATAATTCGTGCAATTTTCAACATAATTCAAACAGCGATCAAATGTGTAACTTCAATATGTGACAATTGAGACTTTCGTTTTAGAAATACAAAGAAATATATTTTAGCATTTCACTCTTAAACAACAGTTCTTCAACGCATGTCAGTCGGTTCGACAGAAATGTTATAACGTCTAAAATGCAAACCCGAATTCTCCTGACGCCTGACATCTTAAATATGTAAAGCATCTTGACCACATCGTGTCTTGTTTGAAATTGAGTTGATTAAAATATCCAGTGTTTTCCAATAAAATCAAGTGATTGAAAAAACGAAACGTTCTCAGTGCACCAAACCCTCTATATCCTTGATGAAAGGTTGTGTGGCATTTCATGACAGTATACTTAGAAGTTAAATAAAATAGATAGTTACAATTATACACGATGCAACAACATTTTTAGAAATGCTGATTATTGGTTTCTTCTCTTAAAGTTGCAATGTGGATACATATTTGTTTTCACTAAGGTTATCGGTAGTATGAGAGACTTGGTCGTCATTATACTGATTAACTGGGAGCACCAACTAGAGTTATTTAATAAACACTAACTGGTTTCAGTTCCTTTCTTCCAAGTGTACTTGGAGTGAACTCCACTTAATAATGCTGTCCGTACGTCGTTGGTTTCTATGTAACAATCCATCAAAGGGATTAGTTCACTGTTGTTCACAGTGGTAGTTTTAAAGCCAAATACAGAAAGTGTAATGCCTCCGAATTTTGCCCTTGACTATCTTTATCTAACAGTTTCTACTCCATTAAGTTAATTGTTCAGATTATGAAGATAAGTGTTAAAAAAGCCGTTATTTCCGTCATTGATGTATGGAAGTATTTCCTGTTGGTTTACTTCAAATTTTTCAACTGTCAAGAATTCTTGGCGAATAAGGAGTAAGGTTCATGTGAGATTATTTAGATGTTGTTCATCACAAAAAATTTCAATAATTTCCTAATGAACACAACTATCCTTAGTTTTAAAAAGGGGTCAGTCAGTTTGTTTACTGAAATGCAAAACCTACAATTATACAGATGTGAAGAACTCCAAAAGAATACTAATGGGTGCGTGAAACGAAGATACTACATACTCGATACCTACTGTAGGTTGTGAGACATCGATATATTTATTCGAATGAAAATGTAAAGGTAGACGTTGTAACGAAGTCCCATGACCTTTGTTGGAATTAGATAGTGAGTCTTAAAATTACAGTATAAAACATCAAACAACCGAAATCCTGTAAGTTGTAGTGACAAATAAGTTCACTCCTGAAGCATCACTTCACTTTTAGAGAGTGCGAAACAAACTAGAAGAGGAACTTTGTTCTCTCACGAAACAAAGGAGTAGTGTGAAGTACTTACCGGATAGTTTGCAATTACCACACTGATACCGCCCTAATGAAGAGAAGATTAAACAACTACAAACTAAACTGTTGCCGGTGTGAGGAATACAATGGATATCTCACTTAAAGCACAACGCATCTTTGGAAGCTATATGGATTCGGTGAATAGATTCTAGTAAATAAATGGAAAGTCTCAAAATAGTTCACACGACAGACATACTCCGAAAATCACTTCCCAATGATGTATTCGATTAATCTACTATATGTCTGTCAATGCTTCTAGGCCATAACGTGCCACTATCCGAAGTTCCAGATCAAATCAAACGCAAATTTACTTCACGTTGAAGACTATTTTACAAATCTATATTGTCAGATGATCCGATGCACATCTTACTGCTGTTTGAATTATGTCGGAAATCGCACGAATTATTGTTTTATCTACTTTGCAAATAAGGTCATAGGTTTATTTAGGACGATATATTAGAATTGGATTATTCGGAATAATCGGCATTTTTCATGGGATATAAATGTTTTGTGATGAATAAATAGAGAAAAATTACAGAAATATTATCCCTCATAAGCAAGAGAATCCTAGATCAATTATCGCCTCAAATATACTAGGGCAACGTCCACGTCCCATGATCCATTCGCTACTCTAATTATTTGTTTAATAACAATGACTGTTATTGAAACGTCACGGTTACGCACGTCTTCTTTCCAAATAATCAACCATAAGCACCCAGTATTGTGAAGGTTTTGGAGAATTCCCCAAAATCAGTGGTTATTTGGATGAAAAACTGAATTCTCCCCAACCTCACTTGTAGTTTTGGGAAGGTATCACTAGTTCCACAGAGGCTAAGGTTTCTGTTGGAGCAAACATTTTGCGAACAGCTTAGGCAAAACGATAATTCGTGCAATTTTCATCATATTTCAATAATACTTGTTTTGTACGAGAATAAGTTCTCTTTAGTTTTTCGTTTCCTACTCTCTAAAAGTAATGTGGTGCTTCATGATTGAAGCTGTTTGTCACTACAACTTACAGGTTTTCGGTTGTTTGTTTTTATACTGGAATTGTAAGACTCACTATCTAATTCCAACAAAGGTCATGGGACTTCGTTACAACGTCTACCTTTACATTTTCATTCGAATAAATATATCGATGTCTCACAACCTACAGTAGGTATCGAGTATGTAGTATCTTCGTTTCACGCACCCATTAGTATTCTTTTGGAGTTCTTCACATCTGTATAATTGTAGGTTTTTCATGTTTGTGTACTAAACCCCTTTATATCATTATTCAGTCTTCTATTTTGGGAGTTGCTTATTGCTTTCTGTTATGTCTGACATGATCTTGTTAAATTTTTTTAGATGTAATTTCTTGTTTGTTTATCGCGTGCTTCATCCTCGGTACAGCATATCTGAGTAACCCCTTTGTCTTCAGAAGATATACGGAAGCACTCGATAACGTCTACTTTTTGAGACAGACTGGGCTGCCTGCATACTTAAACTAAACGTTTAAAATAATATTTCCATTTTCAAGCATTACGGAGTTTGCTAAAATGTGCAACAGTTGTCAGGTTTCTGTACCTGACAGTATAACTATTCTGTAAAGTGAGTTCACTTCGATTAATGTTAATTGTTTAGTAACCAAAATAAGTAACACAGTGACAAGGGTAAATAATTGACATACTTAAAGCTTTACTGTTTTTACTCCCGAATAAACCAACTAGGTGGACCTCAATGTTCAGTCTTTTAGCATGGAAACGTATATCCATTATTTCAACAGGACTAATCGTGACATGAAGCGCATGCACCCATTGTTTAATTATTACGAGACTTTGCTGTAATGTAATTGTATATTCTTATCTACTCATTGCTTACGGTTGGCTTCAGAAGGCATATTTTTACTGATAAGTGTAATCAATCATGCAGTTAAAAGTGAAGAATGTACTCGCTACCTGGTATTAACTTCGACTGTTTGGTTTAAGTTTGTTTACTTTTCTTATTCCTTGGTATTTCAGTGCTTTCCCATGTTATTAAAATATTGGTTTTTGAATATTCGAAACCTGAAGCCAGAGCAAGTGGCAATGACACTTCGCCAGACATACTTGCACATTGTTTTAATATTCTGAGACTAGAAAACACAGGAAGCACTTGTTGTGGTAGTTAAATAACCCTGGAAATACCTGAGAATTACACATTCAAAGACTGAACACAGACATGACTTGACCAAACGTAACAAGGCAATCAGGACAGTACATATTTAGTCAGAAAATATACCATACCACTGCTCAGAAATATATTGGACAGTACAGGCTTTCTGGGAGCACAAAGTGACGTAAGCGGTTCAATTTCGAGGAACAATATTAATCAGATCAAGAACAATATTCTTTAACACATCAAAAGCATGCTCAGCTTTCTCGTAAGCTGATTTGGACTGCTCATATGCGGAAATAACAAGGCTAAGATCTTGTCGCGTTTGCAATGACTTTTGCTTCAACCTTTGTCGATAACGTTTTGACGCCTCACGATTAATCTCACGACGTCGTTTTGAATGAACATTTCGTCTAACATTTGACAAGATAAGATCACTTGGGTATGAATTTGACTTTAAACGACCAGTGTTGAGAGATTCTCCGAGCAATTGAGGCATGTGGAAGTCAGTAGGTTGTGGTAAGTAAGGAATCGCGTTTGCATCAGTGCAACTATCATACAGCAACTCAGAATCAGCCTCTGAACGACGCGTCTAGAAGGAAGTATTAGTAAACAATAAGGTTACCGAGTAGTCAGCAACGAAATCGAGAACGTCCTCTGGCACAAAATCAGAAAGGAATGAGTCACAATCTCTCCCAGAATCCGGGCTTTGGCTTGTTGATATGTCAGATAAGAAATCTGACCACCATTAGTGGATATAGTGACGTACCTGAACAACTATCAGGACTGCCCAATACGTCTGAGCACCCAGACTTGACCGAAGAATCAGTAATGACATTGTAAAGTGGAGAAACGAGACCAGTACTCCAGAGAGGAGTAGTGGTCCCCAACAGAGATTTTTGATATAACAAGTCCATAGTTCATTAGCAATACAAGAGGGGTCCATTTTTGTTTCTTTGGGATCATCATGGCTACCTGAAATGCGAATGAGTAAAAAATTTGACATTTTACAAGCTCGCACGTTCGCGCGAAGAGTATCAAATTGTTCCAGTGGCAGAAACTACTCCATAATTTGCTTCGTACACACACTTCAATTAATCGCAGCTATGGAGGAGACCGAAATAAGTGATTAAAAGAACGTCCAATGCTCAACATCTGATGTTTCCAGTTTCATTTTTTAAAAGAGTGAAAGCCAGTTTGCCTGTATTAGTCCTGAAAATTTTGATGTTTCACGTGATTCAAATTTCTTTTTGAGCGTTTTTAGAGTGTCTTGGTAAATTCTCTGTTTTGAAAGATAAAGAAAATGGGGGGTATCTTATGCAAATTTATCACAAATTACTTTAAAATCTGATTAAGTTGTCCATGATTCTTCTACATGACAACAGAAATAGATTTACTCAAGCCGGTACAGCATCATAAGAGGGCTTTATGATTCGGAAAATCAACTTATTTAAGGTTCTTTGAATTTTTTTCAAACCAATCACTGCCTATTTTTTAGGTAAGGACTGACCGTTTGTATGCAGTTCTCCTTTTTATGACAGGCGAATACTGCATACAAAGTCAAAGTGGTTTTAGCATCGACATGGCCAAAGACCACACGTATTGAACATATGGATCTAAAACCTTCGGTGGCAATGTGCAGTAACTTGTAAGTCTTGGCTAACGATGACTCCTAATTTATTGCGTGTCTAGACAAAAAATGGCTCACTATTATCCACCGTGTATGTATATGTACCATGGTGACCAACATACATGATAATACACTTGAAAGCACTTGTCTGTAACTGCCAAATTTTAGACCAGACAATTTAACATGGTCATTCTGAAGCTCTAAACTATCGCGTTTATTTTTTATAGCTCTCCATATCTCAACATCGTCAGCATATAACAAAACATATGGTGATAGGAGACTAGGAAAATCATGTACATAGAGGAGGAACAACAGTGGCCCTAAAAGTGTTCCCTGAGGCACTGTGATAAGCAGTTTCCCAAATAGACAACCTCGAGTTCACCCGTACTCTTTGTTGACGCTGAACTAGGAATTCCTTTATCCACAATAATAAATCTTCTCCAACGCCAATATTACTTAACTTGTATTTTCGTATAACCCTAAGTCCTTAATGAGGTTGAAGAACCGAGCTTCAGTTGAGTTTTCACCTCCAATATACGTATGCTCCGCGAAGTTGACTCTGGAGAGATTGAATTCCCCTAGAATCAGGATATGAGTGAAACCTAGACGAGAATGACGAAATAGTCTTTCCAGAAAACGACTGTCTGTTGAGTCGGTTTTCAGAGAACTTTAACGGAGCTTCCAGAGGCCCAAAAGAAGCCGAAAAGTTCTAGATAATCAAAACATGATGGAGCATTCTAGAATTCCATCGTGGCGTGCTACTATTGGTTAGTAGCATAATATGTCGTTAACGGATTAGCCGAAATATGATATTGATCTAACAAACGTTAACATCTATAACTACCCATGTTTTCTGCACAAAAACGAACGTTGAAGTAAAGTGTTTCTCTCATACTTTGCGCCTTCTTTCTGATGTTCATGTCGCTGTATAGTTCTAGCGTGCGGGTTACCACAACAACTTGGGGATGAATATAGCGTCCAAATAAGTAAGACTTAACAACTGGTGACGGGATTATCGTACCAGTACGCTATTTACCTTTGAACAATTTGAAATTGTGCTGGAACGCCATTAAAAACGCCATGTGAACTTGCATACCTTATGTAACGAACTGTTATTTGAGAAAAAAATTATTATTATATCATTTTAGGGCCAACAGGAGAACTATTTATGATTTATTCCTTCTGGGGAACAGTTTCTGGGCCTCATTTTTCAGCTTATCCCAAGAGAGTGATACCGTTTCCTTAGGTAAATACCACTAAGCCAGCGTACGTGTAGTCCAGCACGGGTGCATACTTCATTATATATTTTTGGGTACGGTTCAGTAGTGATGTTTCCTGCCCTTCTGATGGAAAATCATATGCCTTATCAGATGTACAGTGTTAATGATAGAAGATATCCCATTACATTATCCAAGTTATTTCCGGGGATATCCAAGAATTTACGAATGAGATGTACCACGGCAGTTTAGCAATAGCTCTACGTCTGTTGGTGCCCAGGTATATATATATCACCTTGTATTTTCAAGTTATCTCGAAATCGGACAAATAAAGCCAAGTCTGATAATCGAAGCCATCCAGTTACTTGACAATGAATAATCTAAAGACGATCGGCTCAAGCATAGAACCATGTTGTAGCACATTTAACGAACTTACCGAAAATATATACGGGTTATGGTCGTTCTACGAAGTACCTTTGTAGCCAGTTAATCGAAAATCCACGATTGTCCAGTGATCTCAGTTTCAAGGAAGAGATTCAATAATCGACTTTGTCGATTACCCTGGAGAGATCAACGAGGCTTATGCACATAAGAATTGTATGCTTTTATAGTGGTCTCTACCTATCCATATAGGTTATCGATGTTAGCGTTACTTGAGCTACTGCGAATAGGTGAATGTTATATTATTTCCAATGAATGACACCATTCCATCTTCTTTTTGCTTCTGGATTCTATGAGCTCTGAGCACTTATATAAAAGATCTGACGACTATTCAAATGACTTCGTGCTGCACCCAAAGTCACTTTCTGTCAATGCATTTTCGTACCGGTAGCTAACCTTCATTCTGTCGACGGAAAAAACAGACTTGTATGAATAGTTTTTTATTTAGCATATTGGACAGTCACAATGGAGCGGGAGGTTACCTGTAGAGCTACACAAAGGTTTTCAACATTCAATATATGATAATAGGAAATGCAATGTCTAAACAAATAAGGGAGCGAATGAATTCCTGAGCTCCATTGTTTTGACATAGGCTTAGTTGTTTGAGGTCAAGTCTCAACTAACCAACCTAAGTTGCTACAGTCTCACCACCCGGAAGATTATAATTTTAAGATCATTCTTGCCACCATCTGTCCTTAGTTCTAGCTCCTTTTCATGCCTTTCTCCTGAGGTGGTTCACAAGCGTTAATTCATCACAGATAAATCCTGATCCTCCCAAGTTCATGTGGTCTATTTTACCATGGTCTTTCTGTTGAGAAATTTAAATACCAATTGCAGCAGCTTAATTTAATTTGCTTTCGAGTTCATCTGACTACCTATTCAGCAAATCTTTAGCAATCTGAATTTAGAAATATTTTAAGGCCTAAGATAGTTAGTAAGGTCATTTATCATTCCTATCATGTCTTCGAATCGAGTTCTTATTTCTGGTACATCATTTTCCCTGACTCTGAAACAGACGAATGACCTGTCATTACGAAGAGTCTTGAAATTCCCAGTAACAATCACAGAAGTGTGGCACAAACCTTGAGATCCTTAAAGACAGTCACTGACTATAGCGGTCGGATTGCTGTTTCTCCCATCAGAAAATTCGAATTTGTCTCTTGTGAACTGTGCAGTCATAAAATCAGAGTTTTTATGTGGATAAGACAGAGAAGCGCGTGAAAACTAAGACTAATAATCCGAAGAAGTGAAACCATAAACTATTAAATCCGAAAGTGTAAGAGACGAAATAAAATGTTTTTCCAATAAAAGTACAGGTGTGAAGTTACATTTGAGAAGACAGTACTCTTGGCGTTACTATAGCAAAAATTATTTCGATTGAAGTTATTGAGATATTCTTGATTCAATGAAAACCATAAATCTAACTCGTTGGGGTAAAGTAATACTGTCCTTTTAAACAGCGATCTCGAATTATTGTTACATATTTTCCAAACTCAATGTCTTTGTTATTGAACTTGTATACACCGATTAATTTCTTGCTCTCCCTTTTCGTTGTTTTTTGTACGGTCCCAGGTATCTCTCAGTATTCAATGGATGGTAATCTATTCACTCCTTTAATTCCATTAAGTTCTGCAGTTATTTATGAATTTGAATACCTTATAGTTTAAGAATATTCGTCTCAGACCTTTATGGTTTTTGGATACCAGCAACTATCATATGACGAGGCAGGAGGCTGATTGGTCCTAATATGAAAGTAATAAAGTGGTATCTCGAGTGCTAAGAGAAAGGAAGCAGTTGTTGTTATGAGTTGATGACAGTATTAGGTAAATTATGAAATGTGAAACGGGCACAACACGTTCAAGAGACAAATGGTAATCCATAAGTGAATGCATCTTCGTTATCAATTTAGGGGGCTGTAATCACTTCGGCTGAGAGAACATTCTAGAGGAACGCAACTCTTTGTAACAAAAGTGGGAGAGTACCGGTAAGTTGGCTTTTTGATGTGCGATATTTCGATGGTTGTCTCGAGTAGCATAATCATAATGTTTTTTTGATATGGTCGTATTGGGGTGGTTAGGCGCACGTAGTATGCTGTATCCCGTTATCAGGTTACCTCTCATCCTTTCACAGCTCAGACACAAGGTTGTGTTCTTTTTAAACTATTGGTGTTTAAACTATCCAACACGCATAAATTTTATACACCTTGGTAAGAAACATCCTGTTACCTTAGAAGTTTCGGAGTCAAGATAACAGCAGGTCAATGAGACTCACCTCCCCACCCTTCGCTCCGAGATTTACGTGAGATTTTGAGTCGAAAGCTTTCGCGAAATCAATTAATACTACAGGAACTGGTATCTTTTGGTCTCAGCAAATCGTCAGGCAGTCCCATGCTATTAAGAGATCTTTTGCACATGACTTACCATTCTCAGACCGCTAGATTGGCCTGAAAACATCTATCGCATCTGCCAAGACAAAGCAAAGTTTTCAGGGAAGCTTTTCACTTGTGCCAGGCTTACCGTTCGAATTGTATTTAGCATTACGTGTCCTCCTTGACCAAGTATTTCTTACCAGGTGTGTGTGCCTTGCCCAGGGTGTATTGTGTAGGAAGCCATATTGTATGATCCATCTCATTATCTCCCACTGGTTATCCGCCATTAGCCTAAGCTACTCTCGTGCCCATGAGACGTACTGAAGTTGCTCTTTCGTCGTCGCGTATTCTGATATAGTGTAAATAAGGTAGAAAGCGTCCTTACTCTTCTGACTTATCTCGTTTTTCTTCACGTGAAATACGGCTGTAATACAGTTGCTATTTCCTACTGTTGCGTAGAGAAAGA